AGGCATGTTGCAACAGGTTTCTAAGGACGGCCTGTGATCACTTAACACGCGGAGCATAAAGAGCTCGAGAAACAAACAAGGTGGAGCAATTATTGAAGCTTGCAGCAGTGGTGTGGAGCAAGGCCAAGGGACAAAAGGGTGGAGGACTGGATCAGGAGGCCCAAATACCAGAAGGACTAACTGACTGGCAGGCAGATCGATTCTTTACTGTTGTTACAGCAAATAATGCTTTGACAACCTAGCCGCCTTGAATCTTGTTGAATCCTCACAGGAAACCAAGCCTGTACTTGGTTCCGACGTTGCGCACAAAACATGAATTAGGTGCTCTGCTTGCTTTGGGCCTTTCGCCATCAGCTCAATGGCTTCGTCCCGGCTTCCATCGTCTGCTGTTTCCAAAACGCTCTTTGATGCCTGAAACGGTGATTGGAAACAAAGAGCGCCAAAACCAAAAAGGTCAAAGGGCAAAGGACAACTCTGTCTTTGACAATGCGATGCTTTGTATCAAAACCTAAAAGCCTTCCGACCTCTGGTGGAAGTAGGCCAGGCAAGCCTCCTAGCGTTACCGCGGCGAGAGCCTCAGTATATTTAGGAAGAACACTCAGTGAACACTCTGCCCATCTCTGTACACTAAACTCATCGGTAAGATGTGCAAAGTCCAGATTCGTGCCGAAGGTAGCGCTAGCAACTCTAGCAGCTAGCATATACTGGCCCAGGCGTCGGATGTTTCGTGTTGTTTGCTTTGTTCTCTTCCTCGGTGCTGGACTGTGCGAGGTGTTGGGGCATCACGGAGGACCGAGCTAACCAGGAGCTCCCGAAGCTGCAAATGCCAAAGATTTCAGGAACAAAAACAACTAACAACAACAAAGTTTGAACTTGAACTTTAAAAACGAACAAACAATGAAAACAGCTGCAATATGAAATCCTACGGGTGTAAAACCAAACGCGTGACTACTGCGATTTCTGAAGTTGATGCTACGTGAAAGGTGAGGGGGTTGGGTTGGGGTGGGATGGGGCATATTGACGTTCGTTTGCACTTGCTTCCTGAAGTTGATGCTACCTGAAAGGTCGGGTGGGCTGATGTGGACAACTATATTTATACTAAGGTCATCTTCCGTTTCATAGCATTGTCATCGGTTTCATAACATGGTCATCGTTTTCATAGCATTGTCATTGGTTTCATAACATTGTCATCGTGTTCATAACATTGTCATCGGTTTGCCAACATTGTCATCGGTTTCATAAC